GCAAGTGGGATGTTACTTCTGTCAGCAAGAACCTCCACACAGGTGCAAAGGGAGAGAGGTGTTTTACACAGCGCTTGCTGTGGAGCTCTAAGCAGCTCTGTTATTCTTGCCAAGCCCCAGATCAAAACCACAGAAGAGGGTTCAGGCACAGCTCAAAGAGGCAATTAGTGCAAAAGGAGTCACCCTATTCTAGAGAAATCTTTATTGTGTAATGGCCCCTATGCTGCCAAGACAACTCCTCTTCAGGGAGAGCAAAACCTGCCACAGAACAAAATGCTGGAAGATTTGTTGTGCCGGATGAAGAAGAGGAAGGGATGATCAGCAGTGAAATCTGGAACAATCATTGCACAGCAGTTCACCAATATTGCCGCTGTGGCAGCAGCTGCTTCAGTGCCTTCTTCGTTGACTTCCACAAAGGACTTGTGAACCACTTCAGAGAGCACCAGCTCATTGCCAGATGACATTCCTGAGAAGTCTGCCTTCCCCGAGTCAAATGCATCAGGCATTCCCATGCAGCTCAGAATGGGTTTCAGATCATAATCTTCTTCCAGTTTAAATCTGGGTAAAGACACCCTCACTTCTGTAGACCTCATCATTTCAGGACTGATCCAAGCTATCAGCTTCTCATACGTAAGTTCTCTTTCCAGCTAAAAAAAAATCCCAAATTTATGTAATTAATGTGAGAAGAAAGTCAATGTTACATGGCCAAAAGTAGTACCTACTGTGTTTGTGTACATAGTACATAACATGTTTTGTTGGGGTTTTTTTACATTCTTACAAATGAGAAACAAAGGCACAGAACTGCTGACATAGTCCCAAAGAAACGAATCCCAGTTCTTCTGTTTCAGCCAAAGGTTCCTCCTTATGGTGACAGGATGATGAAAAAGCCTGCTCACAAAGCCCTTCACAGTCAGTGTTAGAAAACCTTATTAATAAACTCCTTGCCAGAGCACAAAAAAGCCCAAACTTTTATTCCATCTCCACAACAGGAGAGATGCTACCCTTTCCTGTCTATGTGCTGTACCAGACTTCCTTTCCTGGAAGGATACAGGCTGTCTTTGCATTCAGCTCAACAACTTACTCTTTCCAAGCCCATGGATCCATCCTGGATTGCATCAGGGAGCAGGATGATCATGCTTAGTTCATTACCAACATAGGGCAGCTCAAGGATTTTGGTCTGGAAGTCTCCAATATAGGTCATGTTAAATCTATCTGTCTTGAACATCATCTGCACAGGCTTGGTCCCATTCTAAAAATTTAGAGATGTCAACAGTTAGTGCTGAGCTACTGTGCTGCTCTCAAAATACAGAGCAGGCAGCCAGTTACTCACAGCTTTTGAGAATTTAACCAAACAGAACCAATCACACACCATGGAGTACAGCCTCACCACGGCCTTTTCTAAAGCAAGAGGTAAAACCCATTCATACGCAGTAGCACTGCACAATATTGCATCACAAATCAAAAGGCAGATTATTCACCAGCAG